ATAAAAGCAAACAATAACTCAGCTTTCAAAAATGAATTGAATAGCTATGAACTTTGACGGCCATGTGACTGCCTCTGAAGACACTCTGCTGGGAGATTTCTGGGTTTCCTTGTACAGTGATTTGGCCATTGTGAAAACAGACTGTTGGACTTTATAAAACAATACTGTTATCTTACCTAGTTATGTTTCTTCTCCAAAGGCAAAATTAAATGATATAAAAATGTTATTAACCTCCTTGACTTGAACATTTCTTTATTTACTTACCTATTTCTCTATTTCTCTACCCAAGTTAATACACCCCTAGAAATCTGGATACCTACTCAAGTAGAATACCTACTCAAGGATGTAATAACAAAACACGTTCATGATATTTGAAGATGAATGAAAGGGAGGTGAAAAAGTTTTAATAACCTCTGTTGGCATTGGGTTTTCTGATCTTAGCAAAAGAGTAAGATGATCCTTTCCCATGGATTTCAATTAAAAGGGACAAAAATTAACATTTCTACTGATATACTTTCATTCACATTTTACTCAGGAAGAATATGTGAATTTTGTGCATATGACTGACTTTCACTTATTCAAGCAATAGTTATTGCCATTTTAAATCCTTTGAAAGACAAGTTTGAGACTCCATTATGCACTTGAAGTGTACATATTGAAGATTACATTTATTGAAGATACCTCTAGACATTTATAATTAGTTTTGAGTTGGAAATACAATCTACATCTCTATTTTTTCCCTATATTGTAGAACGAGCATGTGCTAAAATCTTGTTCAAAATCAGATGCAATGATATTATCTAGTTGGGTAAGTGAACAATCAGGCACAGAGAACACCAAGAATTCACAATAGCTAAATATATTTTCTTACATATACTCTTGAGGGTCTCCACTACTTACTCACCTCCACTGAAAATGTTGTCTATAAAGTCATGCTCTTTGCTAACAAATCGGCAAAATGAGGGCAGGTAATTATCTTGTAAGTGCTAGGTTTACGCAAAAATCTTTGCTGAATAATTCTGTCAAAGGCTGTTTGAAAATCCAAACACACCATGTTAAGAGGTCATTTCTACTACATGCCTGCTAGCATTCTTTTTTAAAAAAAACAGAAGATTGCTAAAACAGGATTTCCCTTTCAGAATCTATGTTTATTTTTCTTCAGAAAGGTGTGTTTCTTTATGTGCCTAGTTTGATTATTGCTTCTATCAATTTGAAGAATTAATCAGTGGAACAACTTGCTTCCAGAAGTTGTGAATGCTCCAACACTTGAAGTTTTTGAGAAGATGTTGGATAACCATTTGTCTGAAATGGTATAGGCTTTCCTGCTTAAGCAAGGGATTGGACTAGAAGACCTCCAAGATCCCTTCCAACACTGTTATTCTATTCTATTCTATTCTATTCTATTCTATTCTATTCTATTCTATTCTTAGTCTATTCTAAACCAGCAAAGAAACAAAAAATGTCCCCGAATAAAGCATAAAACCATATGCCAGATGAAAATACTTCTTTTAAAAGGCCTTCTGCAAGGCCTTTGCTCCAAGCTACTTTTAAAATCCTGTTCACAAATATCAGGGTCAACATTACAAAATGTGGCAATGAGGATGTTTACAAGAATCTGATTCACGAAGCATGTAACTTTAGTATTGCATAAACTACCTCAGTTTTTGATTAAATATTAATCAGAAATAAAGAAATAGTTGATTAGCCATAAAACCACAAATGATTTAAGGCCAGTTATTTGAAGATCAGTTTCTCTTAAGGAGACTACCCCAACTATTACAACTATCTTCTTTGTCTAGGTATAGCTAGCTAAGATAAAGCTTTCTAGGCAATGAGATAACAAGATATATAGAATTCACTCTTTCTTTCTTTTCAGAGTTCATGCAAATGGCTAAGGGAGTGATGACTAACCTTTTTGGGCTCCCGTGCCAAAAATGGGGGGAGTGCAGGGGGGTCGTGCATGGGCGTGTAACACCCATAATGCTATGTATGTGATATGTGATCCCCCACACACACGCATGCGTGTGAGACCAGTGCTCCCCCCATGCTTGTGGCACTTTTGTTTGCCCTCCCCAGGCTCCAGAGGCTTTCTAGGAGCCTGGGGAGGGCAACAACAGCCCCTCCGCCCCCCAGAGGCTTCAGGAACTTCCCTGAAGCCTCCAGAGGGCAAAAAACATTCCTACGGGGAACCCAGAAGTTTGGTGATTTCCAGTTTGCTTGTAGGGCCTTTTTTTGCCTCTGGAACCTTCAGGGAAGCCTCCTGAAGCCTCCGGAGAATGAAAACGGCTCTACGGACAAACCAGAAGTTCATTCCCGAACTTCCTGTTTTCCCATAGGACCAGTTTGGGGAAAAACGGCCTCAAAAGAAGGCCGAAGTCAGCTGGCCGGCGTGCAACGCCTCGAGTGTCCTAACAAATGGCTCTGGGTTCCACCTGTGGCACATGTGCCATAGGTTCGCCATCACGGGGCTAAGGCATTCCTATTTTGCTAGACAACATTTAAAATGTGGATTAAACCTTGTAACATACCGTTACAAATGATTTTAATTGTCTGTTTAAAAGGTCTCCTTGTTCCTGTTCCAGCAGCTAGTCCAATCCCTGGCTCTCACATATGCTATCTAACTGATAATCATCTAAATGACAAAATATATAACTTCTAAAGAAACAAGGTATAAAGCTGGAACTGGCTGATATTTCAGTAAATAATTCTTAGAGCTTCTCTAACTGCATTTCTCTTTTCTGCTGTAGGAATAACATGGAGTTCTCATTTCATTTAATCACAGCAAAAGGCTTCCCAAGAGTCTTTTTATACCATCATTGTGTATGCATTCTTGTACAACAATTTATCTTGAGAGACTCACGATGTTTTATATCTTCTTCCATGTTAAAGCAATTATTTCAAACTGTGATGAGACTAAGTTAATTTTTGGAGGAGAACCCAAAGGTGCTTTTTCAAGAGGCAAGTGGACTTTCTTTGCTTTTCCTTGAAGACATTTTGCTTCTCATCCAAGGAACTTATTCAGAAGTCAAAACTAAAGAAGCTTCTTGGATGAGAAGTGAAACATCCTTAAGGGAAATCGAAGAAAATCCAATTACCTTTTGAAAAAGCAACCATGATCTGGTAGATTGAGCATATTCGTAGACATTTTGGAGGAGAACATCTTGATTCTTAAAGTTAGCATTAAATACCTTATTTTGGGAAGCTCTGATAATCTCTATTTTCAAAATGTTCAGGAAATTTTTAGAAAGGATTATGAAGAAACCAAAACTTTAAAAGTTCTTATGTAGGATATGTAATTTTACTAGATAAATATATCTGATTTATTGTTAGTTCTCCAGTTCTATAGGTTACAAGGTATAGATCTGAATCTCTGAATCAGCAGAGTTTACCACTGACCCAAATCTTTGAATTATTTATAAATGTTTGTAAATTTAGAATCAAAATGCAAACATGCAGCAGAATGCTTCAGTATAGTTTGGGATAATTTCAGCAAGTGATATGTTACACGGTTACTCTCTAATTCCTGGATCTGATTCTGAAGAACCTAACTATAAATAGGAATGCTTTTATAATTTACAACCAGTATGCAAGCTTTCTCATCTGGAAGCTTTATTCTGTATTTATTCAGTATTCTGAATCCTGTTACAAATGACTTTTATTTGCTTTTAAAACATAGTTGTTGTTTTCTAATTTTCATGTTCTTGGTCTTTTTGTTGTCTAAGGGAGGATTAGAACCTAGGCCCCCTGTTCCTATTCCACCACTTATTCTTATAATTATTCTGCCTTTGCTCTCTAATTCCTCATGTATACTATCTAATTCATGGCATATAAATCTTCAGCAATAAGTATGCCAAGAGGAAAACTCAAGCGGCAATTGGGAAAGTACACTGAATTGCACTTAAACGTTTAAAAATGCATTTCTTATTAGCATGCTCACCTAAAGATTACTGTAAGACCATTTCTTATCATTCTATTTTTCTTATTCAATTTTGCTTTCTTCAGACAAATCTATAAACTCGTGCATTTTATTTCTGTATTTTCTGTGTTAATCTTTTTTAATATGGTGGTTATTTTATTAAGTGTTAGAAAAAAGAAGTAGAAAGTAGAAATTGGGAAAATAGTATTATGTATATTGAACTATAATAGAACATATTATAATTACTATGTATACAAAAATGTTAGCAGTTGAAAGATTATGATTATGTATATTTTAAACTGTACTATCATTATTAGAATTGTGTGCAAAGAGCTGGGGTGGAGCAGTGGTTAGAGTACAGTACTGCAGGCTACTTTAGCTGACTGCTAGCTGCAATTCAGCAGTTCAAATCTCACATTTGGTTTCCTGTGAGACTGGGGGAGGGGAGGAATATAATGTTGCTGGTTTTTAGTAAGGTAAGTAAGATAGCCCTATTGATGTAAGTCCCAATAACTGGCAAATGTAATTCTTTCTTTCCCAAGTATAGAACTACTTCAAATAAATTACAATTTTTAATATTTTTGATATTCCATCATTAGGTATCACTAGATGCAATGGATACTAATTCTCAGTTTTGCTCCATTATCCATGCTACCTGGAAATCAAGGAAGCCCAGTATAGTTAGAGAGCATTGGGATAGTGTCATGGTCTGTGAGAATATTCTGGAGAACAGAAGGAGAACAGCCAGGACAATAGTCAGATAAGTGATATTTCAATCCACAGAAGGAATGGCAATATGGAATTCATGTGAAGAAATTTTCTCTAGTTCTGTGGAGAGTAAAGGTAGGGGAGAGGGAAATGCTTTCAGATTTGCAAGATTTTGTTACTGTAACTTACAATAAAGGTCCTATTGTTATTCACGGCATTGATTTCTTGGACTTTCTTGGCCTATGTTGAAAGACTGACAGATAGGAATCCTGATTTCAGTTTTCTCAGATATTTTTTCATACTGATGAAATTGCATCTATACAAAACCTAATCTTGGAATTAGATTTTAAAATAAGCAAAATACATTGAAACTTACCACAGAAGTAAGAGCCATCTGAAAACTATAGATCCGCGCAAGGCCAAAGTCAGCTAATTTTATTTGTCCACTGCTGGTAACTAGAATGTTTTGAGGCTTTAAATCACGGTGGACCACTCTGTGTGAATGTAGAAAATCAAGGCCTCGCAGCAGCTGAAACATCATATCCTAAGAGAAAAGAAGCAAAAATGTTATATTTTGGGATACCACATTTCATAAAGTAAGTCTATTTCAAAGTAATGGAATTAAGTGGCAAATATATCCAATGATATTATATCTACCCATACATTTTTCAAAGGGCTCACTTAAAAAAAACTATTAACCATCAATAAATCCATGTAGCTGTGTGAAGATAAATTAATGTTCAGACCCAATTTCCATATTTCATTTTATTGATTTGGTGAAAAATTCTTTAATAATGATAATGAAATGCTTAACAGTTTTATTTTCTGTTGCTTTTATGAAATTATATTTACTAGTCATTTGACAAGATAAAAGACATTTTGCATTATTTTCATTCTATGTTGAAAATAAATATGAAAATTATGGATTACACTATATTGATAATATATTCTAGTACCTTCTAATTAATGTTGCCAGATTACTCATCAAAAGATTTTTTCCTAATTTGGTTAAAGGTCATTACCGATTACATATGTCATTCTACAAATCACCTTAGCAAATAATTTTGAGAGTAACTGGCTCCATATTTTATAAATACTACAATACAATACAATACAATACAATAGCTGAATTGGAAAGGACCTTGGAGGTCTTCTAGCCCAACCCCCTGCCTAGGCAAGAAACCCTATACCATTCCAGACAAATGGCTATCGAACATCTTCTTAAAGATTTCCAGTGTTGGGGCATTTACAATTTCTAGAGGCAAGCTGTTCCACTGATTAATTGTTCTGTCAGGAAATTTCTCTTCAGTTCTAAGTTGCTTCTCTCCTTGATTAGTTTCCACCCATTGCTTTTTGTTCTACCCTCAGGTGCCTTGGAGAATAGTTTGACTCCCTCTTCCTTTGTGGCAACCACTGAGATATTGGTACATTGCTATCATGTCTCCCCTAGTCCTTCTTTTCATTAAACTAGACATACCCAGTTCCTGCAACCGTTCATGTTTTAGTCTCCAGTCCCCTAATCATCTTTGTTGCTCTTCTCTGCACTGTTTCTAGAGTCTCCACATCTTTTCTACATCGTAGTGACCCAAACTGAATGCAGTATTCCAAGTGTGGCCTTACCAAGGCATTATAAAGTGGTATTAACACTTCATGTGATCTTGATTCTATCCCTCTGTTTATGTAGCCTAGAACTGTGTTGGCTTTTTTGGCAACTGCTGCACACGGCTGGCTCATATTTACGGTAAATGGTTGTCCACTAGGACACCAAGTTCCCTCTCGCAGGTTCTACATTTGCTACTATTGAGCAAGGTACCACCTATACTGTACCTGTGCATTTCGTTTTTCTTGCCTAAATGTAGAACCTTACTCTTTTCACCATTGAATTTCATTTACTTCTTCACGCCTGTACACATGCATAGACGTGTTGGAAGGGTATCCAGTG